AAACCATAAACTTAGTTCCAAATAATAAACTTTGTTCTTCTCTAGTTTATGGTTGCATTCTGAGTAATCTTTTTTCTAAAGCCGAGCTTAGAGTTGGTGTAGATGCCTCTTTTCCTCTTAAAACAAATCAATCTTCTTTCCTTAATGAGATCGGGATGGACCAATGATAAAGAAACCGGTGTATGGGTTTGATCTGTTGAACTTACTCCGGGAGCTAGTTCTTCACAAGCACCACCAGCAGTTGATGACGATTCTGACGATGAAGACGAACCAGATCATCCCGCGGAGAAAGCACAACAAGCGGATCAAATGCCTTCCTATTTTCAATCTTTTATGGAGACATTTAACTTACATTCTGCATCCATGGAATCACGCTTTTCTTTCATTGAGTCCCAACTCACTTCCTTGGGAGCTCAACAACGGGAGATGAACGATCGTTTGGATGGACTCTCTCTTGAGATGAGAGCTCGATATCCTCCTCCTCCTCCTGATCCTTCTATGGATGAATAAATCTTGCTTTGTTTTAGTTGTGTTTGGTTTGAATTTAAAACTTAAAATTGTTAAAACATTTTGAATGTTTTTGGATTGTTTATTTTTTGTTGTTCGAACTTATGTTTAATACATTTGATTTGGATTTCGTGTTTATTTTGCATCTTTAGACATATATGACCAATTATCCATTACATGTTTATGAATATTGATTATGAAACTAATGGCTAACGTTTCTCTTAATTGTGATCTTAGCAGCTTAAGCTATTTATCTATATATATAATCAGTTGGCTGAATGATTTCAAAACCTTGTTTAAAATCTTTTAAAAGTCTTTTTGATTTAACAAAAAGGGGGAGAAATGTTAAAATTGTTTTAAAGGGGAGAAGTGTTAAAGTAAGGGGGAGTAATTTCAAACTTGATTTCAAAATAAAATCTTAAAATTACTAAAATGTTTTGTTATATCAAAAAGGGGGAGATTGTTGAAAACATTTTGATATTTCAATATAACAAATTAAGTTAAATGAATTTCAAGATTTTCCAAAAATATTTTCTAAGTATATTCGATATAATTATTCGAATATCAAAATATTACTCCAAATCTTTCAACTGTCATTTTTAATCCTTACTCAAGTGTAAAATTAAGTTTTAATCTTAAAATAATTTCAAAACAATTTTACAAAATATTTTGAACCATTTTAAAGCCAAAAATTCCAGATTGCTCAGAGGGAACTGATTCCCCCCTAAGGGGGTATCGATTCCCCCCTGAATGGTTTGGCTCCGAGAAAAATAGAATGCTCGGAGGGAACCGATTCCCCCCCAAGGGGGTACCGATTCCCCCTGTTTAACGGTTGAAATATTTTAATTTTACACTTAGGGAACCGATTCCCCATGAGGGGGTACCGATTCCCCCCACGCTCCAAGCAGAAATATTAATTGTTTTCACACTTAAACGGCTCCTATAACTTTATTAATGATCCCCAACGTTCAGAAGTGATTCAAGGTGTATTTAAACAAGCTTAGAAGCCATTGATCAATAACAAGAAACATCAAGCAACTAGAATCAAGAGAGAATCAAAGAGAAAGCATCAAACCTCAAGTTTGAGCATTTCAAGCCTATTTTTCATTCAATATTCATTTTGCTTTAAAGAACACTTATTGTGCTCAATTATATATATTCTTGAGTGTTCTTTCTTTGTTCTAGAATTGTGCAAACATCTTACCTTGTGAGGTTTTCTTGTAAGTTTGCGAAATTTGTAATCTTCTCTTTGAGAAAGAGTGTTCTCAAGAATTGGGGTATAATTCTTGAGGAGTTGTAAGGTTATCTCTTTGGCCTCAAAAGAAAGAACAAATTAGTGAATTTGTTGGAAAATCCTTAGTGTGGATAGCTAAGGTAGTGGACGTAGACTTTGTTGAGAAAGTTGAACCACTGTAAATCGTTGTGCAATTACTTTCAATTTTCTGCAAAAGCTTCCACCAAAATTTTAATTGCCAATTCACCCCCTCTTGGCCGATTCCATCGATCGATTAACTCAACAATAAAGTATAAGTATATTATATATATAAAAAGTATAATTATAAAGACTAAAGTATATAAATATATAATATAAAGTATATATATGTATATAAAGTATATATATATATATATATAAAGCTTTAGTATAAAGTGTATATTGGTATATAATAATATAAAGTATATAATATAAAGTATATAAGTATTAAATATAAGTATATAAGTATTAAATATAAAATATATAAGTATATATATAAGGTATATACTTATATATTTTATATTTAATACTTATAAACTATAAAGTATAAGTATATTATAAGTATATATATAAACCATAAAGTATATATACTTTATACTAAAACTTTATAAGTGTATATATATATATATATACTTATATATTTTATATTTAATACTTATATACTTATATTTAATACTTATATACTTTATATTATTATATACCTATATACACTTTATACTAAAGCTTTATATATATATATATATATATACTTTATATGTATATATACTTTATATACTTTATATTATACATTTATATACTTTAGTCTTTATAATTGTACTTTATATATATATATACTTATACTTTATATTATTATATATGTGTATATATATATATTATACTAAAACTTTATATATATATATATATATATATATATATATATATATATATATAAAGTTATAGAATAAAGTATATATGCATATATAATTTATATAAAATATAAGTATAAGTATATTATATATATATATATATATATAAAGTATAATTATAAAGACTAAAGTATATAAAGTATATATACATATAAAGTACAAGTACAAGTGTATATATATATATATATATAAACTAAAAAGTATAAGTATATATATATAAAGTTTTAGTATAAAGCATATATAAATATTATTAATAATTTATTTTTAAAAAAAATAAAATATGTGTATATACTTTATATACTTATATACTTATATACTTTAGTATTTATAATTATACTTTATATATATATATAATATACTTATATTTTATATTATTATATATGTGTATATACTTTATATATATATATATAATTTATAATTATACATAATATATAAATATAGATTGTATATATTTAAATATAATTCATATATAATTTATATATAAACTATATAATTTATATTAATAAACTATATAGTTTATATATAGTAAAATAGTTCATATATAAACTCTATAGTTTATACATGGTATATATAGTATATAATGATAAAAATATAAATTATATATTTTATATACATAGTTTATATATATAATATATATAAACTATATAAACACTATATAGTTTATATTAATAAACTATATAGTTTATACATAATATATATAATTTATATATTGTATATAATAATATAAATATAAACTATATAGTTTATATATATAATATATATACTTTATATATAAACTATATACTTTATACATAATATATATAGTTTATATATATATATATATATATATATTATAATTGTTTCAATTTTTTCTCAACTTTTGAAATGAATGTAATTTAGTCCATTTTAAAAAATTTCTTCACATTTATAATTATTTTGATTTGATCCCTTTGTGTTGTTTAATTTTTTAAAATTTTTATTTGTAATTTTATATTTATTTAATTTAGTGCTTAAAATTATATTAGCATCTGAAATTGACTCATACTTATTACTTATTTATATTTTTAATTGGCTCGTAACTTTTTAAATGTGTATAATTTAGTACTTTTTATATTAATTTCAACCTCATATTTTAAAATTATTTCGATTTGGTCTCTCATCAATTCGTGTTGTTTAATTTATTTAAATTTTTACTTGTAATTTCATATTTATTCAATTTAGTCCTTAATTTTATATTTTTCATAAAATTGATCCATGATTATTTATATTCTTAGTAATCTACTCTAAATCATATACAATTACAAATTGCAATTCAACGTTCGCGAAAGACGAAAAGAATTAATCCAAAAATAAAAATTGACCCGATTTGAACTCAATCCGTTTCTGATAAAGATCCGACTTGAATTTTATATGCCAATGACGTCACTCGATCTGAATGAAATTCGCCTGAAATCCATCTGAACTTGAATTAACCTGGCCTTTATCTGCTCTAGACCTGAACTGTTTTGACCTGAACTGACATCGATCCGAACTGAAAGTAACCTGACTTGAACCCGAACTGTACCTGGTGTCAAATCAACCTGAAAATGACCCGACCTAATTTGATCTGAGTCTAAATATCAAATTTACCTGACTTGACATGTATTCGATTTTACTCGAACTGACTAGATCTGATTGAAACCTGAACGATTACCCGATTTTACACGATTTTACATCCCTAGCTAGTAAAGGGAATTGTAGAAAATGAGTGATTATCTTAATTTAGATGGTTAAAGTTAAACCGTTTGTAATTGGGCTTTTGCATTATCATATTATAATTTGATTAATATTTAAAAAATTATGTTTAAAAAATATGATTCGGTTGTAATAGCTTTAGTGGTCAAATCATATATATTTGATTAAAAACTACAAATAACTCTGAATTTAATAATATATGGATTAAGCACAACCAAGCTACCTCAATTCACAGGTTTTTTTTAATTAATTACTGGTATCTAGTACCTCAGAGGTGAGGTGAGGGCGACCCTCCCAACTCAGTTTGCTCCATTCGCAAACGCTAGAATTTGAACCTCTAACCTTGCTTAAGGGACCTAGTACCTCATCCCACTAGACCAACTGATTGTTGGAAATTTATAGGTTTAATTGGGTGTAATTAAGCTATAATTATTGTACAATATTAGCCGTTGACTAAAACAATCATTTGAGAGAGAGCCGAAGAAGATTTGGAGTGTTGTTCGTAACTCAAAAGAATATGTAGGTCCCTGTTTTTCTCTCTATCTCTCAATATTAAAAGCAAAAAAAAGAGAGACAAAAAGAAAAAGAAAAAAAAACTTCATGTTGACACCATCACGACGACGATGACAATCTACTCATTGACAATGAAGAAAACTACGGTGGAGCGTTCTCCAATATCCGCCACCAAGCTGCCCAATTCACCTATCCAGTTCCGCGACATCGTTTCCTATTTCATCCTCTTTGGTTTAGGCTTGGGCATAGGGATCACTCTCAGCTTCTTCTATTTCAAAGATGGCTCCATGGATTTCCAACTCAATCAACTCTCCGTCTTCCGTGATTCCGTTCCGCCACTGTCTACGACTCTCCCTGCCGTTCCCTCGAACATCCATATCACGAGCAGAATGCAGGATGCCGTTGTTCAACCAGCTTCTCCGGTGGCAAAACATCATACTCCTTCGCCACCGATTAAAAAGATGAAGAGGAAACGCAGGTATTCAGGGATGGACTGAAGGGGGACGACTGAAGCAGTCGCTCTCTAAAAGTTCCAAATTATCATATATTCAAGGATGGATCGAAGAGGGACGATAAAACATCCATACGTTTTCTTTGTTTACAAAATTTTAGAAGTTTGCATTAACATAAAACTTTGCGTTCATCCATGCAGGTATTGCGTGAAGGAACTGTTTGAATCGCCGGGGACTAGGCACAACATGACGGACGAGGAGTTGTTTTGGAGGGCATCGTTTGTTCCAAAAATTCCAGAATTTCCGGATAGACGAATCCAGAAAGTGGCGTTTATGTTCTTGACGAGAGGAAGAGTGTTGTTAGCTCCACTTTGGGAGAAATTCTTTAGAGGACATGAAGGCTTGTATTCCATCTACGTTCATTCTGATCCTTCCTTCGTTGAATTAATGCCAAAGTCTTCGGTTTTTCACGGTCGCTGGATTCCTAGTAAGGTCTGTTTCATCCCTTTCTTTTCCACCCTTTTTACCGTTTTTCATTCTTTCAATTCTATTTTTATGTATCTCATCGCTATAATGATAAAATTAATCTCTAATGTTTGTATAAATTGATCATATTGGTCCTTGTTTTTTGAAGTATTTTTGTCTTATCGTTTTAATTTTTAGTCAAAATAATGCATGTTGTTGTTGATATGATATTTTTAAATATACTTAGTCGTTGACATATCGCATGTCACATCACCCAAAGTAATGACGCGTCACATGCTACGTAATTAGAGTAATGATATGGTACGTGACACATCACCAAATAAACACATGTGAAAATGTCATATTAACAACATGTATTGATTGTTACTCAACTAATAATTTCCATCCACCATGAGCTACTTTTACAAAAAAATTAAACGTTGAGAGTTAAAATTTTCTTAAAAAAAGAATAGAGGCCAAATTAACCATTCATACAAACATTAGGGGCTAATTCTATCATAATGTCTATATGATTCTCGTAGTTTCATTTAACTCACTGATTGTGTTCATTCTATTCTCGTAACCAGACCCGTCCATTGACAAGTATAGCATGTGATATGTCACAGGGTCCCAAAATTTAGGGCCTATACTTTGAAAAATGATATGTTAACCTAGAAATAATTATTTTTCCTTGACAAAATTTAACCAAAAAAAACCTTCTAATTTTCTCCCTTATTATCTCAAGAATTAAATCGTAATAAATTCTACCTAAAAAATCACTAAATTTATGATGTTTAACGGAAAATAATTTTGACTTGCGTCCATCATAGTTTCAATCTTCTTAAATTTTGGTATTTTACAATTTTACCTTATTATAAAATATTTTAGAGGCTTCATTTCTAAAAAATAGCACAAGACCATATATTTTTTTGGGATGGACCTGCTTATAACATTGATATTAACACTGACATGAATTAATGTAGATAGCTAGATGGGGAGAAATGAATATGGTGGAAGCGGAACGCCGTCTGTTAGCAAACGCATTGCTCGACGTCACCAACGAACGTTTTGTTCTTCTTTCGGAATCATGTATCCCTCTCTTCAATTTCTCTACCGTTTACGATTATCTCATCCGCTCAAACAAATCCTTCGTCGAGTCATACGACTTACCAAGTCCCGTCGGCCGTGGCAGATACAACAACAACATGGCTCCGTTGATCTATCTGGAGCAATGGAGAAAAGGCTCTCAATGGTTTCAGATCGATCGGTTTCTTGCGGTCGAAGTAATCACCGACAAAACATATTTCCCCATTTTCTGGCTGTATTGCAAGAACGAATGTTACGGGGACGAGCATTACTTACCAACATTTGTGGACATGAAGTTTCCCGATCGAATTGCGTATAAAACATTGACGTACGTGGATTGGTCCAAGGGAGGTCCTCATCCAAATAGGTTCCGTGGAGAGGACGTAACAGAAGAGTTTTTGAACAACGTAAGAAGCTCCACACAGTGCTATTATAATGGAAGAATAGTGGACGTTTGCTACTTATTTGCTAGGAAATTCTCACCAAGTACTTTAAACAAGTTGTTGAGACTTTCATCACTTGTCATGCACTTTTAGTACGTTTTCTACTTGGTGTATTTTTTAAATTATTTAATTCTAATTTTTATAATCATATACACCATATATACATTTGTTGTATTTTTTTCATATGTGATTTACATATACCATATAAAGTTGAGGGACTCAACTTAAACTTCGACTTGAACTTGAAAATCAATCTACTAATTACTAAAAATTTCGAGTTATTCGAGTTGTAAAATACAACTCGATTTGAATTTGAAATTTTTTCGATTCGAGCCGAGTTTATGAAATTACAATTCGAACTCAATTCGTATCGAGTTTTTTTCAAATCGAGTCGAGTAAAAAAATTGATTTTTTCGAGTCGAGTCGAGTTTTGCTCACCCCTACTCATGATATTAAGAATTATATGTTTTCAATTTAATGGGCCTCACATATGGGACAAGTCCATAATAAATATATACATTGAGATTCATATAGATGGACTGAGGGGACGGTCATAACAATTATTATTCCTAAAAATTTTAAATTCTCATATAATTTAAATATTTTTGTATTCATCGTACCAACATCGACTAATCTTTAATCTTATAGAAGAGTAGTTCCCATTGAGTTATAAAGCCTTGTTGAATTCATCATAGTTGTCTCCAAGTTAGGTTAAAAGTAGACTTTAAGTTACCCATGAAAAGTTGAAGACTTCATCCATGAAAAGTAGATTTTAAATTTTTGCAAATTCTTTGATGTTTTACATCGATCCCAACTTCTTCTCAATAGAAACTAGGTTGGGCGGATCGTCCTTGTCTCTGTAATACCCGATCTAAATTAATTTATCAATATATCAAATATTAGTGATTCTAATATGAAATAATGCTTTTAAAAACTTATAGACTAACTTGAACAAAATATATTAATAAAATAATCTTAAAAAGTTATGGTCGAAATTTTCAAATCAATAATTCCACCTAGTGGACACTGCCCCGAGACACTGAGAAGAATAAATCTAGCTGCACCACATTTTGCACCATCAAAAAGAATTTATAAAAAATAATGTTGAAAATAATTAAAAAATTATATTATTAATTTAAAAGAATTAAAAATAATTGAATATTTAGAAGGATGTCAATAATTTTAATTAAATATTTCATATGATTATAGAAAAAGAAATTATATATCTATATAAACAGAAATATTTTTAAATGATATTTTAACAAACTTGGGAAAAAGGTAGCTAACTATACCAACTTGCTTGGACAAAAGGTAACTAATTATACCAACTTGCTAATTAGGGATGGAATTAAGATTGAACTATGAGGGAATAAATTGTTCGATTTTGAAACAAACAGGGTCTTCAAAATTGAAGGGTTAAAGAGCAATTAAATCAGGAAAAAATAGATGTATGGACATAATTTCATTTTTAAAACTCAAAGGGTCTTAAAAATAATTAAACCAACAAATTTCGGGAGAGATAAAAATTTAGGGTAAATTACAAATTTAGTAAATAAACTTTACTCTATCTCTTATTTCACTCATTATACTTTAAAAGTTTTCAATTTAATCACTCAACTTTATATAATGAAACTTTTTTGGTCAATTCGCGATTCATGACATGGCTTTAACTAAAATATATTTTAAAGATTACCAGTGAAAAAAGCAAAACTTCAGAATTTGAAACTAAAACTGCTGAACATAGCTCCAACGCCATAACCTCATCGTTTCCCATTTTCAAATCTGGCCTCACATCGTAAGCTCCTCCTTTCCCTCATTCAACCGGACTAGATCCAATGGCTTAGAACCAACGACGAGGGAAGATGGGGTTGCGTTACCAGCCACCACCACCACCTCTTTTCTCTTGTCACGATGGCTATAGCAATAATGTTCAGCTTTCATACTGGTTAGAGTGGAACAGAAAACATGAAAGAACCGAGAAATTGGTCCTAGAAGTCTTTACAAGCTCATAATAGAAAATATAAAGAACCGAGGAGTGGTTCTTCCCCAGGTTCCATCCTCTGGAAAACTCTAAATCCATTTCATGAGAGTGATCCAAAAAGGTTCACCTGAAAGAACATGAAGACCCCCTTTATTCTTTCCTGACTAGTGGTAGTTCAGTGAGTAAAATAGTTCAATGAGAAAGCTTTTTAGGTTTCAAATTTTAGTTTTGCATACTCATATTTTAGATGAATCGCATCTGTCTCTGGTCAACCTTTCGGGTACAAATACAATGTTTCATAGAAGAATAGTTCATTTTACCAAGACAGTTCCCCGAAGAAATCAACAAGAGGCACGATTGAGAAGTCATCTACTGTTAATATCAATTTCTTGCCTTGTAAACTACTTTAGCCTATTAACTCATTCATCCAAAATCTTAAAACAGGCTGGGACCCCAGCTGATATTAAAGTAAATCAGGGAGCATGGTCATGGGACACGACTACAGGTGAAGAGTGATCGAGCGGGTGCAGGATTGGCTGAGAGCCCTATGACATCAGTTGGTGTGCTGTAGAATATTTTGAAGATAATGGATTCATATTACGGATGCTCCTTTAGCACGTTCCCCTTGAGAAGACCCATCATGGAAGAATCCTCACTCACTAAGCAATCCTTTTTTTTCAATCCAGTAGCAGAGTTCTCTTGGACTGGTGCAAATGTAGAATGTGCAGTTAAAACCATGAAAACCAAGTTTCATCCAATACACATGGTCCCCCGTCTTCTTATTGGAGGCAGCCCTTCAATTCCTCATTGATTCTGGTTGTGATCTAAACTCCAAGACAGATTCCGGTGACACAGCTTTGACGGTCTGTTCAAAATATAGGCATGAACAGTGCCTTAGAGTGTTGACAAGGGTTGGTGTTTACTTTGACTTAGTTAACATTTTGGGGTGGGGGACGACTTATCTCTATTCATAATATCAGTGATTGGATCTTATTTCGACTCGGTGAATCTCCTCTTCATTGGAAAGTTTTATCACCTGATGAAAAATTTAATGATTTTGAAGCATAGAGAACGTTGAAGTAATTAGTTTTTTTGGTTGATTGAATTAAAATTCAAAGGGTCTGTGAGCATGGTAACGTTGCCGTATCTGTACAGTATATACGAGATGGTGGACACTGGCCAACTATCTGACTAGTGCTGGTCACACATTTATTCCCAGAAATTTGACTGTTATGGTTTTAAAAGCACGTCTTGGCTCTCAACATTGTCTCTTATCAAATTTTGAGTGACAAGAAAGAGTGGAAGTACATGTATATGCATCATGGATAATACATTTGTAGTGGTGCATGTGATTGTTGTCCCACTACTAATATTCCATGTGATTTCTGATGGTTTGCCGATCTTAATCTGATTTGGATATATTATATTCAACTCCAAACATCATTCGAGTTTAGGAAGATTTTATCCAATCAAAAATCTAATCCGTTCTTTAAATGAAAACTCACACTTGACCCGACATGTGTATGCATATATAATTTCCAATCTTATTAGATAAAACAGAGACCTAATTTAAAAAAAAATTATAGAGAGATATATTATCACAATTATCTTTAAATATATAAAGAATAGTTATACATAACATTCATGCCAGAAATTTTTCACCCGAACTTGATCCGAACATAACCCAAATTTTCTAAAAACAAACTACACTCTATAAGATTAGGTCGAATAAAAAACTATCAGGTTCGAATCAATGCCCATCCCCACCTATGCTTGCAAATCCTAGTGCAAGCAAGAAGAATAATCACTAAAAGCTGAGCCTTAGATCTGAGTGGGGAAAATAAGGAAATATCTCATTAGGGGCCTTGCGGATCTTGAAGCACATATAATATTATTATTATTATACTAATGCCAAGTCAATGGCCTAAGCTAGTGGCAAATATATAAGAAGAGTCGCTGCTTGAATCTCTGAATTCACTCAAGGGGAACATATAGAGAGAACGAGAGAACATGGTTCGGGAACTGAATGTAATTACCGATATGGATGCAGGCAGTGATTTCCTAGTCTTGTGGGCAGTTCTGGTCACCCTTTCTTCGATTTCAGACATGATTTTCTTTTGTGCAGACGGTGTATCCAAGGATAAAACTACCTCAGGAGAGTCAGATTTAATGGCGGATGATGCACTGCTGGCTGTGGTGCAGCTTGTGGCGCATAGATCTATGGTAGAAAGCCTTGGAATTAACTACAGAGCTGTATGCAGCTACAAGGTTAAACTGAGGCAGCTGGGCTTCTACTAAGAAATGCTATAACATAAAGCAGCTGCTGCTCCATAGTATGACCTTTTTCTGTAGTAGACACTTGATTCCATTTATCTCGGAAAGTACTGAATGTGATGAATAATTTGACTTGCCATGTTTTCATTGATTCTGTTTCTAATCAAGGAACAAGGGCCAATTTGAAAAAAGCTGCCTTGCATCATTTTTTCTGATTTCGTGTGAGAGGATAATGGAGCAATTTGATTCAACCGAAATACTTGAGAATTTATCCATTCGACAAGCATAAGAAAATTCAAATTGAATGAAATATTTAACCCCTCAATGTTTAATCCTAGCTCCGTCCCTAACAATGCAACCAATGAGAGTGAAGCATGTAGTTCAATGGAGCTCAAGTTCAACCCAACACCAATATCCAAAACCATCAAACATCAATTATGTATCCTAAGCATTACCATAATATCACCATAAAAATCAATATACCATAGCATCCAATACATCCCAATTAACATCAACATGGTATCTGGCATACTAGGCATTTTGCATGTACTATATAAGCAAATCTTAATTTTTAACTATTCATATCCATCAAGTAACATGCATATGCATAAGTCTTCAACTCATATACTTATTAACCCATCATGAACCATATCATTTCCTCATGAAAATAAACATGTCATATTATTACTTTTTAAGACCATCATTTTCAATCAAAAGGATGCAAGTCAGATTGTTGCTTTCTTTTTCCTGTATTCGATTGTGCAGTTCTTTTGGATAAATACCATTTATACAAGAAATGATGAGACAAAAACAGAAATCCTATTTGCTATATGACGAT